TGTGTGTTCCCTTTTCAATTGGGGACAATGGCTTTTTACCCAAAGGACTGACTTCACGCTGATAGAGCCTCAGGTCACTGAGGAAGCCATTCTTGGCTTAGGGACATTTCTGCTCCCCTCCCACCACAGCCCCAGGAGACCACGGTGTCTATGCCAGGGTGTGCTTTGTCCTGATGACACCGAAGGGAGCTCACACACGGTTTAACAGGAGACAAGACTTCTGGTACCATCCTTTCCCCTAGCAGAGCACCTCCATGTCTACCGCTCAGAGTCCCCAGAAGGTCACACTTACCTCACCAGGCGGGGGGGCAAAGTAGATGCCACTCGAGTCGAACTTGTAGCCCGGGTCCTCCACCAGCTGGGTGCAGAAGAACTTGTTGAGGATGCTGCGCAGCGTGCGGCGGTCCCAGTCGTCCGTCACCCGGCCGCCGTAGTTGCACTCGCCCGTCATGTACCGCAGGGCGTCGTAGGGCAGCTCCTGGAACCAAGAGCTCAGGGTCTCAGCCAGTTCCCAGTCACACCTTCCACAACACTGGGGTTCTAGTTGGTTCACCAGATTAAAACACAGTGTCCCTTTATACACTCCCCTGCTGACTGTGGCCTTCCTCCCTCCCCCCACCCCATTTCGTCCTCTCTCCTTCTGTGGTTGGTCCCCACTCAGTCAGTGCAGAGAACAGAACTCCTCTAGCAGCCCAGGAACTCACCGCCCACCCAGCATTAAAGAACCAGGCACACAGTGAAATGGCCAGAAGCCCATCCTCGGAAACCTCTCGCAGCTGCGTGACATTCGGAACAAATTCAGTATAATTCAGAGATAACCAGTGTCGATTTCCTTCTTATATCCATACTAGTGGCCTGGTGCACATTGAAAGGGAATTAATGAGAGGAAATATTTTAATATTGCTATGTGCCCTTTCTCTATAATAGAAGTTCAGAGATGAAAGAAAATTAGTAAAATGTACATGAAAATATCGATCGCCTCAAAGAGGGAGGGCCAAGCCACCCGGCCAGGGCTCCGTGATTGATTGCCACACAGAGGGAGGCCCCGCCCACCTGCCGCAGTGCCACTGGCTGGGTAGCCTGGACCTCCCTTTGTGGGGGCGATCGTGGGGCGATGGCAGGGCCCTCTGACCAATCGCATCACCACCCACCTTGGCTGGCCTGGCGTCAGTGGGTGTCATAGCATGGTCTGCTGGACGGTCATTTTGCTGTTTGGTTGTTCGGTCAATTTGCATATTATGCTTTTATTATTATAGATATTTTTGTAGAACTCCATCTGATATGTTTTCATACGTTTAATAACATCTGTCCTGCTGTGAGTGAGCCTCCAACTCATTTTTCAATGAAGTTTTAATAGTTTTACTTGATTTGCATAAGCTGTTTTATGAATTGACCTTTATTTATCAAATTTATGCAAATACTCTCCTGTTAGCTTGCTTTTTTATTATAGTCCCTTGTATACAGAATGTTTAAATGTTTATGCATGCAACAGGAACAACTTTTCATATTGCAATTTCTTTTAACTTCAGCACAAACACCTAACCTAAACACCCAGCAGTACAGAGAATTCTCTTTCTTGTGCTCTCAACAAAACTGAGTGCTGTCATTCAGGAACACATATTGACAAACGATGACATTGTTTGCAGCTTTTAAGTTTGTTTTTTTATATTAACATGTAAAAAGGGTTTACCATTTGCATCTCTTATTTTGTTAAATCGTCCACTCTGTCCTTTTAGGTGTTTTTCTAATCTGAATGATTATCCTTTTTTCCCCCATTTTTAAAAGCTCTTTATAGCCCTAGCCGGTTTGGCTCAGTGGATAGAACCTTGGCCTGCGGACTCAAGGGTCCCAGGTTCGATTCCAGTCAAGGGCATGTACCTTGGTTGCGGGCACATTTTCAATAGAGGGTGTGCAGGAGGCAGCTGATCAATGTTTCTCTCTCATCGATGTTTCTAACTTTTTCCCTCTCCCCTCCTTTCTGTAAAAAATCAATAAAATATATTTTTAAAAAAAAGAGAAACAAAAGAAAAAAAATGAGGTATAGTTGATATTACATTATATTATTTTCAGATGTACTAGCCTGGCTAATTGATGATAGTCTCAAATCTTTTCCAAAACAACTACAATCACTTTTCAGATGCCCGTAGGTGTGTATGCCTCAAAATCAATAAAATATAGTCCCTAATAGACAAACGGACATGCTACCTGCCTCCTGCAGCAGTTGGGGGCCCGGCTGTAAGAAAGCACTGCGCCCTGAGCTGCTGGGTGCAGTCCTGCTGCTCATGGCCTCGGAGCAGGGACGAGCCAGAGGTCCCCGCTCCCTGCACACACACGCACAAGGGGATGGAGAGCAGAGCAGGCCCCGCCCGCTGTCATCTCTACGGTACCTCGTACTGGTTCAGGAACATGTGCAGCTGCTGGACGCTGATCCGCAGGTCAGTCTCGTTGAACTCGTAAGGAATGTTCCAGCCCAGGGGCCCGAATTTCCGTCGCTCTTGTACCAGAGCGTGGAAGAAGCAGAGGCCGTAGAGCAGCTTCTTGAATTCGGCCTGGAATGGGAAGACATGGTGCCACCTCATTCCTCTCCCCTCCCTCTGCACTGTACTGACTGTAGTTAAGACAGATGCTTCAGGAATGTCACTGTCATCGTGTGGCTGGCGTGGCTCAGTGGTTGAGCGTCCACCTATGAACCAGGCGGTCGGGGTTTGATTCCTCGTCAGGGCACGTGCCCAGCTTGCGACCTTGGTCCCCAGCATGGGGCGTGCAGGAGGCAGCCGATCCATGATTCTCTCTCATCATTGATGTTCCTGTCTCTCTCTCCCTCTCGCTTCCTCTCTGAAACCAATAAAAATATATTTTAAAAAAAGGAAGAAATGTGAGTGTCATCAAAGCCAAAGAAAGGCTGAGGACATGTTTCAGACTGAAGAAGGCAGAGAGGCTGGGAACCAAACATACATGAGCCCAGACCAGTCCTGTAGTGGACAGGCCAGGGCTGTAGGGACATCACTGACAAGTTTGGAAAACAAGTGGTAGATTAGACCCAACAGTGTGTCCTCGTGGCATTTACCAAACTGACAGCTGCACCGGAGCGAGAGCACGCCCTGCCCTCCACAGGCGGACATGGCAGGGTCTGCTTGGAAGAGGGGCCGTGACACACCTGACTCACCTGCGCGTGGGACATGGCAGCAGGAGGTGAATGTGGGCACCGGGCGCCGGGGTATGCCCTGCGCGACTTTCCTACTCATCACCTTTCTGTGAGTTTAAAAATATTTCCAAATAAAAAAAAATTAAAACCAAAAGGTCATGATGTGCTGCTTTGGAATTTGAGGAGACTTGGGTTTTGTTTTGGATCGAGACTGAAGGGAGGACAGTTTTTCCAAAAGCCTCTGTCCAGCTGGTGTGCAGCCGCGCCCTCACCGGGGAGGGGCCTGCGCGGCACAGCCCCGGCCATGCGAACATTAGCCGGACAGGGCTCAGGAGCTCGGGGGAAGGCCTGACTCGGCTTTAAGTGTATGTGCTTTTTTTTAGGTGCCAGGACTTTTGTTTAATGAAAGTACTTCTTTATTTTTTAATGTTTCCTTTTGATGCATACTTAAAACACATTCCGACTTCAAGACTGTGAGCTTTGTAATGGCAGAAACTCACCGAGGTTCACAACCTCTCTCAACACGGAACTCTTCCATTTTTAATTACGGTGAAACGCTGTGAAACAATTCTGGGTCACAGACACTCACACGCAGAATCCTAATCACAAAAGCAGCGGGTGGCTTCCCTGTCTGCCCGGCGCTGCCACAAAAGACCCATCCATCCGGGAGCAGCGCCATTCGCCTCTCGTTATAGTTACACGGAGACGTTTTTATATTTTAATTTAAAGATAGGGCTCCGAGTAGCAAATGGCCCAGTTAATATCCTGAAACAAGATTCCCCAACCTTGCAGATTCGCGCTGGGAATGGCTGGCAGCAACTCTCTAAATAGAAGGCTGTGTTATTAACGACACCCTCCAAGATCCCAGCTGAGCAGGGATGGGGCCGGTAGTAAAATTAAAATAAAATATTAATAAAATTGACTTCCGCACAGTCAATAATCAGTAATCAATGCCAAGGGCGCTGCAGTGCAGGAGGGAGGCCTGTTTAAGGGGGAGTTTTCTTGGGTGCATGCAGCCACCACCCCGGGGGCTGGGCAACAAGACTTAGCCGGTACTAACGGGCTTCTTGCAGCTGTCAAAGAACTCGGGGTCCGAGATGGGGTCCATGAGGTAGGAGCGGATGATGTTCGCCCGGAGCCCTTTCGGGGCCTCGTTGGTCATTTTCACTCCGTTCTGCAGGACGGCCACGGGGAAGTTGGGAGACGGGTAACTGGTCAGCCACATTCGGAAGTCTGGGTGTGTGGACTCTGGGCTTAACTCCTGCAGGAAAAGGAATCGGATACCAAAGCACCAATTAGATCAACGAGAACTCTCCAGATCACGTGGCTGGGAGGGGCTGGAGGAAAAAAGCTTGAACATCTGATTCTGCCCCAGGAACAATAGACTTGATACAGTTAAATCATCTATACTAATAAAAGGGTAATATGCTAATTAGACTGGGTCAAACGGACATCTTCTGGTTTTCAGGACAAAGCCATGGTGGCGGGGGCCAAGGCAGAGGTGGTTAGGGGCAATAAGGCCGGCAGGGGAGCAGTTAGGGGTGGTCAGGCCGGCAGGGGAGAGCAGTTAGGTGTGATCAGACAGGCAGGCAGGTGAGCAGTTAGGAGCCAGGGTTCCCATATTGCAAGAGGGATGTCCGACTGCCTGTTTAGGTTTAGGCCTAAACCAGCATCGGACATCCCCAAGGGGGATTGGAGAGGGTGCAGGCCAGGCTGAGGGACCCCTCCCATGCACGAATTTGGTGCACCAGGACTCTAGTATAACTATAAAGTATACAGAGGGGCTACATAATTCAGAATTGGTCACAGTAAAGACCAAGACATCCCCCCAAAATGTGTGTCTTTATTGGTGTTGATGAACTATTTACAGAAGAATTCTCTGCCTCAGAGCTGGACGGAGAATAATCCTGTTTTGCTTTTTATTTTTATTTTTGGCTGTAGCCATGTTGTGAGAATAAGCAGCATACTACAGCTATGTCAGCATTACACCAAGACGGGAAGGAAAAAAAGAGCATTCTGAAAGGCGAGAAGAACTGGTGTATCTTGAAGCAGGAAATGTACCCCTAGTAGCTACTTGTTTAAGGGGCCCAGTCAGGCCTGCAGGCCAGCGGGACACCCAGCCCTGTCCTGACGTGGAGTGAACTGGGAACAATGGCCAGGGCCCTTCCCTCTCTCCACGCAGCCCCACTCCCTGCTGTGTGTCCTTTTGGTGGTGTATGGCTTTAAACTTGCAAATCTCTATCAGAAAAGCAATGGTGAGCACCCCAGTGGGAAGGGGTAGGTGAGTTAGGAAGGACGCATGGTGCCTGGGGAAGGGGTAGGTGAGGTAGGAAAGACGCATGGCGCCTGGGGAAGGGGTAGGTGAGGTAGGAAGGACGCATGGTGCCTGGGGAAGGGGTGGGTGAGGTAGGAAGGACGCATGGCGCCTGGGGAAGGGGTAGGTGAGGTAGGAGGATGCATGGTGTCTGGGGAAGGGGTAGGTGAGGTAGGAAGGATGCATGGCGCCTGGGGAAGGGGTAGGTGAGGTAGGAAGGACGCATGGTGCCTGGGGAAGGGGTGGGTGAGGTAGGAAGGACGCCTGGCGCCTGTGGGTTAATGAGGGCCTGGATAGTGCTGGGTATAGCATCATCTTGGTTGTTGAGGAGCGTGAGGCTCTCTGAGTTCGGAGGGGCTGGGTAATGAGAGGACACATTTCCTTTCTGTTTATTGAAATCAGGCACCACGTCTTCTGTTTACTCGCTGAGCCAATGGGCTTACTTTTTGAAAAAGAGGGAAGTGCCGTGACCCAGTGTGAAGGGGGTGGGAGGGGTGCTCCTTGGTTTTAGACCGACCCTCGGTGGCAGGATCACTAGCTGCGGGCATGAGGAGTGAATTAAAGGAAATGCTGTATCGTGGTGTGCTTTAGTTTCGAGGGGCCACGTGAATGTCACCTGAAGAGCCTCCTTTGTTGGTTCAGCCCAGGGCTGTACAAAGCGGTGGTGTGCTGTCTGCCCTGTGCTTCGCACGCCTCTGCGTGAGCCTGGCTCCTATGACGAGGGCCCCAGCAAGGCCTGACTGTGCGCTCTTCTTGGTCCTGCAGCTCCCGAGGCCAGCCCACCGCTCCTGTGGCCCAGCATTCACTCACCCGCCACTCCCAATGGTCCAAAAGGGGGAGTGGTTTCCACGGTGTGTCCTAGTTTAGCACTAATCATGCGGAGGGAAGGCAATCCAGGAAAACAAACTTGCATTTTTTACCTCGCACACTTTCTCAAGGGTCGGCATCCAAGAGGTGGCCAGGTGGCAGTTCTGAAGAACCACCCACGTTCCTTCCTTGACAGCTTTTTCTAACATCTTCATAGCGATGGGCCCTTGGCCTTGACCAAGAGACAAAGAGCTAAGTCTCGCTCCCCCGTACCCCTGTGTACGAGAATAAGCAAGGTGGGAAAGGAGGGGAAATAGCATTAGGACAGGAAACGTTACCGCGAGCCATATTGCTATTTAATTATGTAGCATCCTTCCAAGGTCTGAACATACGCGGCCCCCAAACATCCTTACTGAATACGAATCCTACAACCACTTAGGTAAAGAGCAAGTCAACTCATGTAGGAAACGGTCATGGTAATAAATGAAAAATTCTGTAGGTTCTTGAGTGCTGAGCTACGGGATGGAAAGGAAATTAAGAAGACTTTTAACATGAGGAGGAGATGGAAAGGCTTGGTTGTTAGGCAGCAGCTCCTAAAATCCAAAGCCAAAAACAACAACGATGAATAGACAGATGAACTTGTCCAAATCTTTGAATAGTTATATATTAACTAATGTAGCTATGGCATAAAATTCAGAGGGAAAAAATTAACCCTTAATACACACTTTAAAGTTCATTTTTTTCCCTAAATATGCTTTTATTCATTTCAGAGAGAGGACGGGAGAAGGAGAGCGAGATAGAAACATCAATGATGAAAGACAATCATCGATTGGCTGCCTCCTGCACATCCACTGAAGATCGAGTCTGCAACCCGGGCATGTGCCCCGACCAGGAATGGAACTGTGACCTCCTGGTTCATAGGTCGATGCTCAACCACTGAGCCACACCGGGCTGGGCTTAACTCTTCTGTAAAGAATTCTGTGGGGACGTTTGCCTGGAATTCACTCCCACTGCATCCTGCCCCTTCCCTTGCTGCCTCTGGTCACGTGGTCTGCGTCTCCCTGAGCTCCCTCTAGGGCAGCAGCCACCTGCACACTCTTCGCAGAGGCCTTGGGAGACGGCAGATGCGGGAGAGCGGGGTCGTGAGCTCCGTGTGATGTCCACGGCTCGTCCACACGAGCAGGCAGGAGCAGCAGAACACAGAGCAGAGGCAGACACTACTATTTCTGGGAAAAGCGGAGACAGCAGGACAAACAATGCACTGAGCTGTGGCAGGGGCAGGAGGACATGCACAATGTGTAAGGCGGGAGGAGACCTGGAGAGGAACCGGGAGGCCTCGGAGAGTCAGAAGGTTGTGCTGCCCAGAGGGTGAGTCCCATTACAATGGTGCACCTAGCCTCTGCCCTCCCTTCCACACTGGGCCTGCCCGCCAGGGGTGCTCCTGGCCTTCCCATAGCCCTTCGCTAGCGTCCTCCTTCCATTTCCCACTCAAGCCCACGCTCCTCGCTGCAGCTGGAATGGCCTTTACAAGGTCAGGCCAGGTCACGTTAGTGCTAAAAACCCTGCCACGGCGGCCGAGCCCGCTGGAGGCCTTCATGACGAGGCCCTGCGGGGGGCGGCCGGGGCCCTCTGTGCACCGCGCACCTCATCTCCTGCGCACACAGCCTCCCAGCACGTCCTTGACCATCAGGGAGGGCCCGGTCCCCCCCTCGGGCCTCTTGTCTCTGAGTGTAGCCAACGCAAAAGCACTGAAGTGCCAACTGGCCTAGCGGAGAAGATGTGGGCCAGTCAGCGGCGTGAGCTCTGGAAGCTGCTCCCTCGCTCCCTGCTCAGCACCCATCTGTACAGGGCGATGCCCTCACGCACCCCATGCACCCCGCGGGACTGCTGGGAAAATGAAATAGAACGTGTGCGGAAACCGCTACAGCAAAAGTACTCGGTGAAAGTGGTCATGGGGGTTTATAAACATCGGAACAATGACCTAAACTGGTATTTTGATGAGACCAAAAGGGAAAAATGTCAACTCAAAAACGCCCATCGCTTGTTTATCATTTTCTTGTTCTAGGACATGTGGGGTAAGAACACTGACAGCAAATCCATTTCACCATGAAAAACCTGGAACTAGGCCTCTCAGACGGGAACCTGGCGAAGTGACGGAAGGCAGGACTGTTCAGGAGAGTTGGGGGGGGGGGGGGGAGCCTTCAGAGGCTGGGAGAGAAGCGGGGCCGAGAGGGGCCCCCAGGGTCAAGGGGAGGCTCGAATCTGTTCCGTCAACCCCAGCTCACACAGGGGCACCTTGTGTTGCAGAGATGCCCCTCCCCCCACAGGGAAAGCAAAGCCCAGGCCCCCCCAGCCCGCGTTCCGGTTTTAGGTTTTAGATGAGGAGCTACTTCTCCCGTCAGTGAGGCCGTTTAGATATCAATGTCCTAGGACTCCGTCAGCCTCCCAAGTCTCTCGAGGGCTGAGTGAGTGACACCTTTTTACCTTTTCCTCGCCCCTTAGCATTTCAAGTATAAGCAAGTACATATGTATATATAGTAATGTACACACACATAATACACATGTACATGCGTGTGCATGCGCACACACAAACACAGCTCCATCTATCTGAAGGCACCTGGTCATCAGCGAACTTGAGCAGGGCGGCCATGGGGTCGGCCCCCGGGGAGAGCACGAAGATCAGGGGCGCGCAGCAGTTGCTGTCTGCGAACGCCTTGGACAGGTTAAAGGGGGGCGGCTCAATGAACATGCGCCCCAACTTGCTGCTTATAAATTCTTGCAGCATTGGAATCACCTGGAAAGGAACAAGGACATATTAGAAGGAATATTGCGCATCTGCCTGAACCCTAATTGGCTCCGGGTGGAGGGTGTTTTAGTTAGGTGGTCTTTAGGTCGGTGGAGAGTCAAAGCCACCGCTTACAGGAGTGCCGTTCGCCTGGTCCTGGTGTGGACGTGTGTGTGGCTGTGGATGTGAGTGAGGGTGAGGAGCTGACAGTGGAGGAATCGCTGGGCTTAAATCAGAGTTTTAATCCCCTCCCAATATTTCTGTAGATGCACTCGGATATGGGAAGGGTATGGAAGAGAAACAGGACATTTGTAACTACCGGGATACCTAGACCCCAACGGACAAGGGAACACCTACATTGCTGGTGCACAGGAAGTGTTTACTGAAGGGATGAGGGGATGCCCAATTCCAGGCCCTCCCTTTGTGGGGGTGGAATTCTAACGACAGAAATCCTAAACTCAATCACAGACGAATAAACTCGCCGGGAAGGTTGTTTCCGGATGAGCTATGTCCTGTGTTAGATACTGTGAACGGGCACAGATGTCGGGCTCATTGCAGGAACCGGAACATACCCCGGGGCCCGGCCCCGTCCTTGCCCTTCCCCTTAGGATCCCTTCCCGCAGCTGGTCTTTCCTCACGAGATAAGAAACAACAACTATCCACAGGGAGACGTTGCTTCGTGACCTCCTCCCTCCCCAGGCAGACTTCTTTCCTAATATAATGTAGTTTTACAAGCAAAACAAGAGCCCCGGCCTTTCCGTGCCTGCCTCGCTGCGGGTGAGTGTGAGGTGGAGGGGTGCCCCTGCGGGTCTCCTGTGGGCGCTGGAGGGCGAGCAGAGACAGATGTCGGTGCTTCGGGGGTTTTGGGTTGTTAATCCTCCCCTGGGGATAGTTTTCTTTTCTTTTATTATTATCATTATTATTAATTTTAGGGAGAGTGGGAGGGAGGAGGAGAGACAGAGAGAGAGAAACATCGATGTGAGAGAGACACCTCGATTGGTTGCCTCCCGCAAGCGCCCTGACCAGGGCCAGGATGGAGCCTGCAGTCCACGGCCTGATACGCTAGCCACTGGGCCAAACCAGCCTGGGCTGTGTTTCCTTTTTAGTGTTAAAACTGAACCTCGCTCCCGAGATAAAGGACTCTGTTGGCCGCTCAGTTTGCAACGCAATAGCTGGGGTTGGTCTCTGCAATCCCTTCTTGCCGGCAATAGGCTTGTGACGTGAAATCTGTCAGCAACAGAACGACAGGCTAATCTAGGCACCCGCCTTCCAAAAGGCGGGACAGAAGCCTGTGGTCTCCCACTTAGGTTTTCCCACATATTGCAAGCACAGAGAGACTTACTGACTTATATTTGACACGTTTCTTGGTGAAAGTGGATTGATTGGCTTTTTGTTCACAGTTCAGGAGAGAGCCGTGGCCAGGGGCTCTGCACTTTGCAAACAGGCCCAAGTATTCCTCACCTCAGCCTTTACCCATTTGCTCTGCTGCTTCGTGAAAGGAAACAGGGTAGACTGGACTTTATAGACTATCAAACTTAAAGGACAGTGCCAGCCCATCTGACTCCTCCATGGCGACCCAGTGAGCGCCTTCTACACCTTTCCAAACACGAGCAGCGGGGAACCTGGCGTCGGTGGACTCTTGCCCGGGTGGAGCTGGTTTTGAGGGGAGAGCAGCGGAAAGGAGACCCCAACAATTGCATTGACAAATAAAGTATTTCATAAACCAGAGTTCAAGCAATTGCTCATTTTCCTGGTGGACATTTTAGTATCCAATGACTTAGATATCGCAAAGAAATAAAATGTAGGTGGCCCTAGCCCAAATGTTAGCTCCACACAACACGGTTCCTTTCTCTGGCATGTGACAACCATTTTACTTTGGAAAACTACTCTTTTAAAAGCATAACCTCCACATGTATTTTAAAATATAGAGATTCCGAAATCAACAATTGACCATCAGAAATTGGAGTACTTGGAAACAGTCAGATTGGAGGGTTTGCTAATGTCAGAGCACACTAATAGTTATTTTATACTAGAGGCCCGGTGCACGAAATTTGTGCGAGAGTAGGCCTTCCTTTCCCCGGCTGCCGGCACTGGCTTTCCTCACAGCCCTGGCTTCATCTGGAAGGTCATCTAGTCTAATTAGCATATTATGCTTTTATTATCATAGATTAAGGATGACAGAGGTGACAGTACATGTGGACAACGCATCACTTGGGATAAACCAAGTTGTGCCGAGGGGCAAACAATTTCCGGGTCTTAGTGGCTTAACCCAACAAAAGCTCATTCTTGCCGCTGCGAAGTCACCGGGGTGTGTGGGCAACTAATGCTCCCTGCGCAGGCTCAGCTACCCAGCCGGCTCATGGCCCTTCAGTTCTACACGTGACTCCACCTCTCCGATGGCAGGAGAGGGCTCGGAACGTCTCACAACAGAGTCAGATGCTCACGTGTTATTGGCCAAAGCAAGGTGTATGGCCAATCCCCCCACCGAGTGTGTGCAGAAGGAGGGCCGAACAGCAAGTCTTGCTGAGAAGCGTTAATATCTGCACTCACCCCTTAGCCAGGGGAACCCGAGGGGAGACCGAGGGAGAGTTACAAGATGGGGCTAAAGTATTAGAGCAGCTAACGGGTGGGGAACATCCGGTCCTTGGGCCCTGTAAGGCCCGGGAAATCATTTGGTCTGGCCCTGCCAACGCCATTAGGGGTGAGCTAATTAGATGTTTGACCAAATACAGCAGGCTAATCTTTAAGTGGACCATTTTGTCTGGCCCGCAAATGAGGTTATAAATATCCAAATGGCCCTTGGCAGAGAAAAGGTTCCCCACCCCTGAAGAGAAGGATAAAACCACAAGTTTGAACCTCACTTGATTTTACAACAAAAACATACACACAAACAAAACCCCTCCCCAGCTCCCTCAAAAACACGCTAAAGAGAGAAGGAATCGGGAAAATAATATTTGACCTATTTGGTAGCTCCATGTATTTTCAGATTAAAATGTCAATTTTTTTTAAAACATAAAACCGGGGAAAAGATATCTACAGAGGAAACGGCTGTAATTGGGAAATGGTTCATTAATCGCTTTTAATTAAATTTAATTAAAACAGGAACAGAAGGTTCTTTGTTTTTCCAATATTGAGGCAAGAAGGTCAAGCGTACATGTGGAGACATATTAGTATAAAAGTCTTATTAGCTGAGAAAACAAAGTGAAAACCTTTGAAAATTCTAATAAAAGGCTCTAAAGGGGGAAGCCAGCCAGGCGAGCCTTGGAAACACTTCCTGTTCTTTCTTATTAACGCCCGAGGCGGAACTTCCCAGGCCGGACCCTGAAGTCTCAGGGGGAGTCATTTTCCACAAGGGCTACCCCGGGATATTTCAGTGCGGTCGTGGGTTTAACGCTGACTCTCAACCCACGGCATCTCCCCGCACCGGAGACCAGGGCTGCCCTAGACTTCCATGGGCACATCCTGGGCCCCTCCCTTCATTAAAACAACTTAAAAATGACGTTTTACCATTGTTCTGGTATCGTTACAAACAATACAGGCTGGGTGACACTTTCTGATCACAAGGGAAATGAAAACAACTTCACAGACCCCTCAAGTATCGTGGCCCCAGGCGCTTTGCCTGACGGACACTCGGCCCCGGCCAAGTCCAGCACGGACTCCGTGTGCTCGCTGCACAGGCGACGACGCACAGAGGAAGGAGTGCCTCCATCCCACGTCAGCGCTGAAGGGTGAAAACATTTAAAAAACACTGTTTCACCAGCTAAGCCCTGCTGTTGTGTTTTGTTAGGATGGAAGTATTGTCACATATTCCTTAGCAACTTAAATTGTGACTATGGTAAGTGCTGAAATAATGATGTATTACTTTTACTTGAGTAGGAACAGAGGATAATTAGGATATTTTTTTCAATTTTTCCCCCCAATAATGTCTCTATTTTCTCAGAGTATATGGGTATCTCTGTGGACATGAACTATTGTACTTAAGTGAATACTTCTTTTAATAGAGTACAATTACATATCATAATGCAAATCAGAATATTGATGAGTACTAAAATTTGCTGACATACAGGTCAGCTGATAGTTGGTTATATGACTTATTATTTGAGGAAAATAAAACTAAAATTGTTGAAATTTTAGTTTGCAGTCAGCAATAATAAATGTCTTGAAAATAATATCCTATTAATTTTCCAAAGGCCAACAAAGAACTATATACAAGGATAGCATTTGAAGAACCAGAAATTCTAGTATATTAGGTTGCAGTTAACATCGTTGACTAGTTGTGTAAGTCGGCTGTGAGAAACTGGTGAAGCATATTTTAGAAGAAGGCCTCATAAAATAAATAAAGCTCTGAAATGTAATCTGAATTTAGTGTGGCTTTAGTAAATATGCAAACTTTTGGGAAATGGCTGTATGAAGAGGAAGTGAGGTCATCCCCTGGCGCTCCGCCCCCCTACCCCTGGCCCCCCTTCTGAGGCACAGAGGACCCCAGGTTTGCTGAGGGCGGAGCGAGGCGGAACCCAAAGAGCTGAGCTGCTCTCATAGCTGGCGGTTACCTTGTCCGGCCTCAGGCAGCGAATGATGAGCATCCTCTGGAAATCATTCATCTTGTCCTCCCACGCTTCAGGAAAAGCCTCGTGATGTGGCTCCTGAAACGACAGTAGATACAGGAAATCATTCAGCATTATTTTGGAGGTGATTTCTAAATTAACACAAAAACAGCATTTTGACTTATAAATCATTTTTTTTTTAGAGAAAACATAATGACTAAATGAAATCAAGAATGCTAATGTAAGTTTTATTAGGTCAGGGCAAAGCTATGAAATAAGGAATGAAGAGAAAATTAAGAACACCACAGAGGAATCAAAACCAGGACATGAACTCAGCAAGTTAATCTCAATATGAATAGTAATCAATCAACAAGATGATCCCTATTATGGAAAATAAATGTGCATATGAAGCCTTATTCCCCTTATTTCTCCAAAGGCATGTAAAAGTACCTACCAGCCTCTCTCATCATCTATGTATAAAAATAAACATTTATTACAAAAGAAGGGCATTTTACTAAAATTAATTGTGTTATTTCTTGTTTTGAACAATTTTTGGTACTTTTTTTTTATAAAGAATACTTGAGAATGTGCATAGTAAAAAAGCCAAAAAAGAAAGAGAGCAATTACAAATGCACGAGAAGAGAGGAATCAAGATCCCAGGAGGGGAACCTTGAAAAGAAGGCGACGGCTGTAGCTTTGAGGCGTCAGGGAAGGCTATGCAGTATCTCCGATCAGAAACCTCCACGCTTCAGTAGAGTGAACAAATTTCTATTTCAAATTAGAACGAAGTACTCACAAAACATATTTATCTCTTGGAAATATATTTGTATTACTAGCAAGGAGAGAGCCAAAGAGAGTTGTCCAAAATATTTGAATTCGTGCGTAGACACAATCTAGCCATCATGCGTAATGCAACAAGTACGTGCCCAGGTACAAAATGTTCCCCACAGACCTGCCTCTTTCC